TGAGGGGGACCCTTGGCAGATGAGGGACCCTGGGCAGGTTAGTGACAGGTGCGGAGACCCTGGGCAGGTTAGTGACAGGTGAGGGGACCCTGGGCAGGTGAGTGACAGGTGAGGGGACCCTGGGCAGGCGAATGACAGACGAGGGGACCCTGGGCAGGTGAGTGACCTTGGGCAAAGGAGGTACCCTGGACAGATGAGGAACCCTGGGCACTGAGAAACCCTGAGCAAGTGAGGTACCCTGGGCAGGTGAGGAACCACTGGGCAGGTCAGTGACCGGTAAGGGACCCTGGGGAGGTGAGTGACACGTGAGGGGACTCTAGGCAGGTGAGTGACAGGTGAGGGGCCCTGGGCAGGTGAGTGACAGGTGAGGGGACCCTGGTCAAGTGAGTGACAGGTGAGTGACCCTGGGCAGGTGAGTGACAGGCGAGGGGACCCTGGGCAGGTGAGTGACAGGTAGGGGACCCTGGGCAGGTGAGTGACAGGTAGGGGACCCTGGGCAGGTGAGTGACAGGTGGGGGACCCTGGGCAGATGAGTGACAGGTTAGGGACCCTGGACAGGCGAGTGACAGGTAGGGGACCCTGGGCAGATGAGTGACAGGTAGGGGACCCTGGGCAGATGAGTGACAGGCGAGGGGACCCTGGGCAGGTGAGTGACAGGTAGGGGACCCTGGGCAGGTGAGTGACAAGTAGGGGAGCCTGGGCATGTGAGTGACAGGTGAGGGGACCCTGGACAGGTGAGTGACAAGTAGAGGACCCTGGGCATGTGAGTGACAGGTGAGAGATTCTGAGCAGGTGAGTGACAGGTGAGGGACCCTGGGCAGGCGAGTGACTGGTAGGGGACCCTGGGTGGGTGAGGGACCTGAATGAGGTGCTCAGGGCGTCGCAACACCTAGATCACACACACCAAACTTGACCTTATTTGTACACTCATTGTGGGCCACAGCGCCTCAGGATGTGCGGGCGTGCACCAGGATGTGCGCCCATGCACATCCTGGTGCACCCGCATACTAGGGTTTGTGTGGGCGCACCAGCATGTGTGTGGGCGCATCAGCGTGTGTGTGGGCGCACCAGCATGAGTGTGGGCGCAGCAGCGTGTGTGCGTGCGCACGCCAGCATGTGTGTGGGCGTACCAGCATGTGTGTGGGCGTACCAGCATGTGTGTGGGCGATCCAGAGTGTGTGATGTACATTTGTAACTACTGTAACCAAACCAAGTCTATCCTAGCCTAACCTAGTTTAACCTGGCCTAGCTTAGCCTAACCTAGTTTAACCTTGCCTAGTTTAGCCTAATCTAGGTTAACCTGGCCTAGCTTAGCCTAACCTAGGTTAACCTGGCCTAGCTTAGCCTAACCTAGTTTAACTTGGCCTAGCTTAGCCTAACCTAGTTTAACTTGGCCTAGCTAAGCCTAACCTAGTTCAACCTGGCCTAGCTTAGCCTAACTTAGTTTAACTAGGCCTAGCTTAGCCTAACCTAGTTCAACCTGGCCTAGCTTAGCCTAACCTAGTTTAACTTGGCCTAGCTTAGCCTAACCTAGTTTAACTTGGCCTAGCTTAGCCTAACCTAGTTTAAACTTGGCCTAGCTTAGCCTAACCTAGTTTAACTTGGCCTAGCTTAGCCTAACCTAGTTTAACTTGGCCTAGCTTAGCCTAACCTAGTTTAACTTGGCCTAGCTTAGCCTAACCTAGTTTAACTTGGCCTAGCTTAGCCTAACCTAGTTTAACTTGGCCTAGCTTAGCCTAACCTAGTTTAACTTGGCCTAGCTTAGCCTAACCTAGTTTAACTTGGCCTAGCTTAGCCTAACCTAGTTTAACTTGGCCTAGCTTAGCCTAACCTAGTTTAACTTGGCCTAGCTTAGCCTAACCTAGTTTAACTTGGCCTAGCTTAGCCTAACCTAGTTTAACTTGGCCTAGCTTAGCCTAACCTAGTTTAACTTGGCCTAGCTTAGCCTAACCTAGTTTAACTTGGCCTAGCGTAGCCTAACCTAGTTTAACTTGGCCTAGCTTAGCCTAACCTAGGTTAACTTGGCCTAGCTTAGCCTAACCTAGTTTAACTTGGCCTAGCTTAGCCTAACCTAGTTTAACTTGACCTAGCTTAGCCTAACCTAGTTTAACTTGGCCTAGCTTAGCCTAACCTAGTTTAACTTGGCCTAGCTTAGCCTAACCTAGTTTAACTTGGCCTAGCTTAGCCTAACCTAGTTTAACTTGGCCTAGCTTAGCCTAACCTAGTTTAACTTGGCCTAGCTTAGCCTAACCTAGTTTAACTTGGCCTAGCTTAGCCTAACCTAGTTTAACTTGGCCTAGCTTAGCCTAACCTAGTTTAAATCAATAGTTTGCACTGCGGCCTTTTTTTTTTTTTTACCTGTAAATATTTCTGAGACATTTTTATCATTATATTAAGGCTTTACAATACAGACAAGAAGATGAGTAAGTCCCATGGTATCTTTACTCACCAGACATTTCACTTACTCAGCAGGCCTTCTTCAGTCGAAATACAGAGGAGACAACAGAAGTAGTGAAAATGTAGATATGATGTGATCAGTTCATCAGTCTTGCAGAAGAAGCAAGCTTGAGGTGGTCAGTCCCTCAGTCTTGCAGAAGAAGCAAGCTTGAGGTGGTCAGTCCCTCAGTCTTGCAGAAGAAGCAAGCTTGAGGTGGTCAGTCCCTCAGTCTTGCAGAAGAAGCAAGCTTGAGGTGGTCAGTCCCTCAGTCTTGCAGAAGAAGCAAGCTTGAGGTGGTCAGTCCCTCAGTCTTGCAGAAGAAGCAAGCTTGAGGTGGTCAGTTCCTCAGTCTTGCAGAAGCAAGCTTGAGGTGGTCAGTCCCTCAGTCTTGCAGAAGAAGCAAGCTTGAGGTGGTCAGTTCCTCAGTCTTGCAGAAGCAAGCTTGAGGTGGTCAGTCCCTCAGTCTTGCAGAAGAAGCAAGCTTGAGGTGGTCAGTTCCTCAGTCTTGCAGAAGAAGCAAGCTTGAGGTGGTCAGTCCCTCAGTCTTGCAGAAGAAGCAAGCTTGAGGTGGTCAGTCCCTCAGTCTTGCAGAAGAAGCAAGCTTGAGGTGGTCAGTTCCTCAGTCTTGCAGAAGCAAGCTTGAGGTGGTCAGTCCCTCAGTCTTGCAGAAGAAGCAAGCTTGAGGTGGTCAGTCCCTCAGTCTTGCAGAAGAAGCAAGCTTGAGGTGGTCAGTCCCTCAGTCTTGCAGAAGAAGCAAGCTTGAGGTGGTCAGTCCCTCAGTCTTGCAGAAGAAGCAAGCTTGAGGTGGTCAGTCCCTCAGTCTTGCAGAAGAAGCAAGCTTGAGGTGGTCAGTCCCTCAGTCTTGCAGAAGAAGCAAGCTTGAGGTGGTCAGTTCCTCAGTCTTGCAGAAGCAAGCTTGAGGTGGTCAGTCCCTCAGTCTTGCAGAAGAAGCAAGCTTGAGATGATCAGTCCCTCAGTCTTGCAGAAGAAGCAAGCTTGAGGTGGTCAGTTCCTCAGTCTTGCAGAAGCAAGCTTGAGGTGGTCAGTCCCTCAGTCTTGCAGAAGAAGCAAGCTTGAGATGATCAGTCCCTCAGTCTTGCAGAAGAAGCAAGCTTGAGGTGGTCAGTTCCTCAGTCTTGCAGAAGCAAGCTTGAGGTGGTCAGTCCCTCAGTCTTGCAGAAGAAGCAAGCTTGAGGTGGTCAGTTCCTCAGTCTTGCAGAAGAAGCAAGCTTGAGATGGTCAGTCCCTCAGTCTTGCAGAAGAAGCAAGCTTGAGGTGGTCAGTTCCTCAGTCTTGCAGAAGAAGCAAGCTTGAGGTGGTCAGTTCCTCAGTCTTGCAGAAGAAGTAAGCTTGAGGTGGTCAGTCCCTCAGTCTTGCAGAAGAAGCAAGCTTGAGGTGGTCAGTCCCTCAGTCTTGCAGAAGAATCAAGCTTGAGGTGGTCAGTCCCTCAGCCTAGAAGAAGAAGCAAACTTGAGGTGATCAGTCCCTCAGTCTAGAAGAAGCAAGCTTGAGGTGGTCAGTCCCTCAGTCTTGCAGAAGAAGCAAGCTTGAGGTGGTCAGTCCCTCAGTCTTGCAGAAGAAGCAAGCTTGAGGTGGTCAGTCCCTCAGTCTTGCAGAAGAAGCAAGCTTGAGGTGGTCAGTTCCTCAGTCTTGCAGAAGAAGCAAGCTTAAGGTGGTCAGTTCCTCAGTCTTGCAGAAGCAAGCTTGAGGTGGTCAGTCCCTCAGTCTAGAAGAAGAAGCAAGCTTGAGGTGGTCAGTTCCTCAGTCTTGCAGAAGAAGCAAGCTTGAGGTGGTCAGTTCCTCAGTCTTGCAGAAGAAGCAAGCTTGAGGTGGTCAGTTCCTCAGTCTTGCAGAAGAAGCAAGCTTGAGGTGGTCAGTCCCTCAGTCTTGGTGGGTGTTCAGCACCGTACCCTCGACCAACGTGAAGTTATGGAAGTTTAAAAGGCCGCCTTTCTCATTCCTTAACTTCAGGTTGATCGAGGCTACGGACTGGTCACCTCAAGCTTGCTTTTTCTGTCAGGTTGAGGGACTGAACACCTCATATCTACATCTTCACTACTTCTGTTGTTGTCTCTGCATTTTGACTGAAGAAAGCCTGCTAAGTAAGTGAAATGTCTGGTCAATAAAGAAACCAGATTGTCTTATCAGTATTGTATATCCTTAATATAATAAAAAAAAAAGTGAGGCCTGGTCATGGGCAGGGCCGCAGGGGGCGATGACCCCCGGAGTTCCCTCCAGGTATACTCCAGGTATACCAAAGTGTTGCACAAGTGTCTTAGTCTACTTTTCTTTTACCTGTGACTTTATTACCAATTACCGTCTAAGTACTTGGATGTGCAGGTTCACCAGGATATGCGAGGGTGGCCAAAGTGTGTATAGATGTACCAAGATGTGCGTGTACCAGAATGTGCACGGGTAAGCCATAATGTACGCGGGTGCACTGGAATGTGTGTGCAATTGAGACAATTTTAAGCACATTTTTCACAAAGTTATAATAAGTAACACACGAACAATCCAGACATTTATCGAAGGAGACGTATCTCCACCGCCAGTGACGACTTTATCATCTCTAATGTACACACACACACACACACACACACACACACACACACACACACACACACACACACACACACACACACACACACACACCAGTATACAGAGGAGAACGACGCCAGGTGCGACCCAAAAATACAAGTCACTTGTGGAATACACGTGTGGTGTTGCTGTGTCAGAAGGTTAAACTATAAGGAAGCTGTGCCAAGCATGGTCCACTATGGCTACTGTCACTTGATGGCAGTGTTAATGGCTGGGTAAAATTATATTATGTATGTATGTAAATATATATATATATATATATATATATATATATATATATATATATATATATATATATATATTATATATATATGTATATATATATATATATATATATATATATAATATATATATATATATATATATATATAATGACCATCTTAGGGAGGTAATACTCTGGGAGGAAGCAAGACAAATGATTTATGTAAAAAAAAAAAAAAATGGAGAAATGTCGCCAGCGCATGTAACCTGGAGGGGTCACGCAGGAGAGGTAGAGAATCTCCAATTTCAAGCTCCAATTTCTTGCATCAAGAAACCTTGCGAGTAATGATCGAAGCAACACAGGCTGATTTTCTATGCTGGCGTTCTTCTTGCCATACCTGCATGCTTATGTCCCACCGACAGAGGTACCCCAGCTTGATGCCGTGATGTTGATGAACATAGATTATTATTATTATAATCAAGGGGAAGCGCTAAACCCGTAGGATTATACAGCGCCTGGGGGGGGGATGTGGAAGGCATTCAGGCTTAATTCGGGGAACTGGAGCACAGATCCAATTCCCCGAATTGGATCTGTGCTCCAAGGGAAGGATAATACATTGGGGGCCAAACGATTGAGCACATGGGTGATTATAGTCACACGGGAGGTGATAAAATGGATACATTAGGGCATGGAGGAGAAGGTAGACAGGTACTCACACTGACGCTCGATGTCGTCATCAAGCAGTAGGGAGACCACCTCCTTGGGTTTGAGTGTGTCAGGCTTGAAGTTACCACCGCTGATCACCATCCTCTGGATCTGTGGGAGCAAGACAACACGGCTCTCAGACACCTGTTTTCCTTTTTCAAATTGGATACATCAGTAATGTTATTGTTCTACTATATACAAAACAGACAAGATAAATAGGACACGTGCAACACCCGGGTATCTTCACTGTGAAGACGTTTCAACAACCAGTGGCTTTATCCATTTGCAGTGTGCTGCTACCCTATTCTATATGATAGTTACATATCGGGAACAAAAACTAGCTATGTTTCCCTGTTATATACCATCACACAGCGTTCTTCCTTACATCAACTGATGAAATCTGTCAGCCTGAGCTGCGAGACTTCACTAGGCTAATGAAGATACATCAAGAATTCCACTAGGGATTCACTAGCTACGGCAGGTTCAAAGGTTTCGTTCCAGGAGGGTTCGAGTTACTATTACATGATGGTCTGTGAGGAAGGAAGGAGAGAAGGAATACTGGGGAATAGGAATGATATTAGGTGGCAGAGTGGGGAGTAGTATGAAGGTAATGGAAATAATAATAATAATAATAATAATAATAATAATAATAATAATGAACATTATACACATGAACAATAATAACGTCAGAACAAAAATGATAATTACAATAATAATTATAATAATTGCTAACAGGATACAATACTGACAAACTGATGAACAAGACACATTAGCAACACCTAGGTAACTTTAATGCCGAAACGTTTCGCCTGCACAGCAGGCTTCTTCAGTCGATAAATAATTCACTTTTGCAACACAAGTGTCTCAACAACTTGTCGACTTTCTAAACAATCTATTTAAATTCTCCAGTAAATACTAGGCAGCAGAAGAATTTTGGAAGCTGTAGTAGTAGTTCTGACACGATCAGTCAGTCCGTCACCGTGGGTGAGAGGCTGTCTGTCCCTCAGGCCTAAAACACAGGCAAACGGCTAGTTGAAGTTGGCGTGACAGGTGAGCGTGGCCCACTAGTCCTAAAGAAGTGTTTAACATGACTTACTTCCACTAGTGGGCGGCAGACAATACCGACATGTTAATAAATATGACATGTGCAATATCTGGATATCTTCACTGACCAAACGTTTCGTCTACATAGCAGTCTTCTTAAATCAAATGCAAGTTGCACATTCACCTGTATTTGACTAAAGAAGCCTGTTATGTAAGGGAATTATTATTATTATAATCAAAAAGAAGCGCTAAACCAAAACCATTACGTAAGGGAAACATTTCGACAATAAAGATACCCATGTGATGCATATGTGTCTTGCTCATCCACAAGAACATGACAGCACGTACGTAGCCGTGGATGCATCAGAGGTGACCTTGGCGTCATCAACACCTGACCTTGCTCCAGACACCTAACATCAAAGCCAGCAGAGTGGCTTTCAGGTTCTTTCCAACAAAATACTGCTCTCCGATCCGTGATAAGGCAGGATTTAGGGAACATAAAAAGTTGTTTGCAATGAAAACTATTTATGGTGCATGACCCGTGTTCGCTACGTGCAATGCGGAAATCTGGACGCCAGAGCCACTTAGCGAACGGATGGTAGAGCTTTTACCGCTTCGCATAAGACAGAATAGTGTTGTTATACGGAGTGAAACGCGTGACCGAACAAACCTAGTGAGCGTACGAAATTTCTGATGCACATAACTTACAAAGGCTAGACAACCACACAGCATTTCTCTCTCAATGTATATACAACCAGACATATTTGTTTCTCGATATATTTACACTTGGGGATACACCAAGAAGTATCTGTCAGTGTATATATAACGAGAGGTGCATATCTCTGTGTATACACAAAAAGGTATTTCTATCAATGTATATATGCCAAAAGGTGCATCAATCTCAATATGTATATCTTAGTACACAACAAAGTGTATATCTTTAAGTGTTTATACATTAAAACGCGTGTATATTCACTAAAGTACATATATATCAATGAGTATATACCGAGAAGTATATATTTATCAATATATATTACACCGAAAGCTCTAAATCTCTCAATGTATATACACTGAGATGTTTGAATCCCCCAGTTATCTAACACGGTGTACATACACCAAAAGATGTATATATGTAATGCATATACACCGAGCAACGTATCGCTCAGTGTACATAAACCGAGATTTGTATCTCAGTGTATATACACCGAGTTATGTATCTGTCAATATACATACACAGAGAGTTGTGCATCTCTCAGTGTATACACACAATACAGTTTAGACTATTTTAGATGATACTCTTGATGTTAGTGTCGCGGTAAAATTCAGCCTTAATGACCGACATGCTGAGGATAACTTTTTAACCTGACCAACTAAACTGACCACTGAGCAGTAGTGGCCTTCAAACAGGTCAGTGGAAGAAGCGGACCACGAGCTGGAGCTCACCCTCTTCCCGGAAACACACAACGGTAATTGCACGATCTGGGAGACAAGAATGCGGGTCTCTGAAGACTAACTCCCCAAAAGGAAACTAGTGAAATATAGCTAACTTCTTTGTCTGAGACAACTTTGGTCAATTATTTTATATTGCGAACATATTAGCTAGGCAAAGTTAGGTTGCCATGTTAGCCTTGAAGCCAAATAAAAATGTCAAATCAAACATTTTATAACTGTATTTCATTATTTTCCCTGGGGTTGAGAGGTTGCGGTGGGGGTAGGAAGGGGCGGGGGTTGTCGTAAGGGGTGGAATCTTCAAGTGGTAACATTAATCCACTTTGCAGACACGTCTAGCCAAGTGCATACACACATATATGGAAGGCGATCTTTACGTTAAGAGAAAGCAGTGACTCGCTACAATTCACAAGTAGTACCAAAGTAATAGAGCAATTGCAGGTGAGGCTGGCTAAACACAGGCAATAAATAATCTGTCCAGAAGTTTCTCCTAGGTTCCCACGGCGCGCGAGGGCACTGGAAAAACTGGAAGGGCACAAAAAGCCCTCTCAGTGTGTCGCTCCCCGGCCCCTGCCCTCTCTCACTGACAAGACGCAGGTCACACCGCCTCACATCCTGGCTACAGACTAGGCAGCAGCCACCTCCCTAGAATAGCCTGACTTGTCCAAGCACACGAGTAAAGAATAATACTGAAAGACGACTCGTCGCTCAGCCAAAGAACGTTCGGTTAACAACTGAAAGGACCCGGGTATAATCCCCCAGGCAAGGCAAGACGACTAGATAAGTCTTCTACATCCTGCTGTCCATTTTCATCTAATTATAAAGAGGTACCCAGGAGTTAATCGAATGTTGTGGGTGGCAACTTAGGGAAGATAACTCAAGTACCCACTGGGTTTTTCTGGGTTATAATACCTTTGAAAAAAGGCGACACAAAAAAATGCTGTAGGAAGCCAACACACGCCGTGGGGTTAGTCCCCCATCAAGGCCACTTGATACGGTGGCCGACTGGTGTATCATTAGCATATCTAGCCCACACTTGATCATGATAGTATGCCCTTGATACGGCAGTCCGTTTTCTGTTTTAATGGTGATGGAGGGTCATGGCTCTGCCGACAGCCTGCCAAACCCGTTTTACTCCATTAATAGCCACACAAACAACCTGCTAACCAAACACCTTCCTTTAATGTCTCGCTACATTTATGGAGATGTCAAGAAAAAATGAGGGTGAGTGGGTGTGTGACTATCTTAACTAGACATTTCACATAATTAAACGGTCTGCATGTCACTGAGTTTGGAATACTGACAGAATATAGACAAGAGATGTGTGCGTGTTAGTTAGTTAGTTACCATTTTGTCCTAGGCACATGTCGATTAGACACTAGGCCTGTTGTATATGAGTACGTGTGTGTGTGTGTGTGAATATATTATATATATATATATATATATATATATGTGTGTGTGTGTGTGTGTGTGTGTGTGTGTGTGTGTGTGTGTGTGTGTGTGTGTGTGTGTGTGTGTGTGTGTGTGTGTGTGTGTGTGTGTGTGTGTGTGTGTGTGTGTGTGTACTCACCTAGTTGAGGTTGCGGGGGTCGAGTCCGAGCTCCTGGCCCCGCCTCTTCACTGATCGCTACTAGGTCACTCTCCCTGAGCCGTGAGCTTTATCATACCTCTGCTTAAAGCTATGTATGGATCCTGCCTCCACTACATCGCTTCCCAAACTATTCCACTTACTGACTACTCTGTGGCTGAAGAAATACTTGTGTGTGTGTGTGTGTGTGTGTACTCACCTATTTGTACTCACCTATTTGTGGTTGCAGGGGCCGATTCACAGCTCCTGGCCCCGCCTCTTCGCTGATTGCTACTAGGTCCTCTCTCTCCCTGCCCCATGAGCTCTATCATACCTCGCCTTAAAACTATGTATGGTTCCTGCCTCCACTACATACCTTTCTAGGCTATTCCATGGCCTGACTACTCTAAGACTGAAGAAATACTTCCTAACATCCCTTTGATTCATCTGAGTCTTCAACTTCCAATTGTGACCTCTTGGGTCTGTGTCCCATCTCTGGAACATCCCGTCTTTGTCCACCTTGTCTATTCCGCGCAGTATTTTATATGTCGTTATCATGTCTCCCCTGACCCTCCTGTCCTCCAGTGTCGTCAGGCCGATTTCCCTCAACCTTTCTTCGTAGGACAATCCCCGTAGCTCTGGGACTAGTCTTGTTGCAAACCTTTGCACTTTCTCTAATTTCTTGACGTGCTTGACTAGGTGTGGATTCCAAACTGGTGCTGCATACTCCAGTATGGGCCTGACGTAGATGGTATACAGAGTCTTAAACGAATCCTTACTGAGGTATCGGAACGCTATCCGTAGGTTTGCCAGGCTCCCGTATGCTGCAGCAGTTATCTGATTGATGTGTGCCTCAGGAGATATGCTCGGTGTTATACTCATCCCCAGATCTTTTTCCTTGAGTGAGGTTTGCAGTCTTTGGCCATCTAAACTATATTGTGTCTGCGGTCTTCTTTGCCCTTCCCCAATCTTCATGACTTTGCATTTGGCAGGGTTAAATTCAAGGAGCCAGTTGCTGGACCAGGCTTGTAGCCTGTCCAGGTCTCCT